CCGAGCCCAGCTCGCTTGAACGAAGGGGCAACACCGTGTTTCTTTTACGCCTGGCGCGACCGTATGAAATTTCGATAAAGAAGCCCGTGGATCCACCGACACGTCGGGCCACACAATAGTCGTTCCTCGATATCCCGGGCAAGACAGTTGAATTCCAGGTGGGACTTTGAATTATCGAGGAGACGGCCCTTTGGGAAATCGCCGGCTAAGTTCTTTGGAATTTTCGTCTTGCTGCCTCGTTTCTCGTCCGCTTCGCGGCCAGAACGGACGATAATCGACGATCATCCTGAAATCCACTAATACACAGCCCCGCGGAGAAATCGGACAAAAGGAAGAAAAGAGGGGGGGGGGTGTGGAGGGGGAGAAACGGTCGGATAAAAATGGGCGATGTGGCCGGCGACGGTGAATCAAGGGGAGAAAAGTCGATTCGTCTTCCGAGCGGAAATCGGTGACAAGTGGTATATCTCGTGTGCGTGCGAGCGAGATTTCTCCAGACTTTCGACATCCATAAATGCATAGCAAGATCAAGCGGTTTAAAGCCCTTGGAGTTCTTGATATCTCCACACGTGTGATTCAGGATCCCCCGCGCCATTGGATGCTCAGTGATATTTAAATTCGAAGATTCCACGGGAGATTTCCGTGCCCCCGTTATACCATATACCATACACAGCTATGCTATATACATACATACATATATATATATATATATACAGGGGGAGCTGTGTATATAGCTGCGCGGCTGCGGCGTCACAGTTGAAATCTGGAAACGCTTCCGTGGTATTTTTAATATCGTCGTAACACAGGGCTATTGAAATTCTTCGGCGAGAGAGGGGGGCCTGGCGCGGATCGCTTCGGCGTCAACGTTTTGAATAAAGGCGAACCGTGCAATCACGCTATTAATAATCGACGCGGGGGGGCTCGCTGCTTCTATTATTATTGGATAGTTTGACGCGTGCGGCCCCCCTCGCGGGCGAAGAATATTCTACACAGAGTCTGAGGAATTGAACTCGCTCGCCGGCCGTCTTACGTCCCGCTTGCCTCGATATTTCAATATTAAAATCAGAAGATGACAAGAGGGAAAAGAAATGAAATAATCGTTGAATTTCTCCTTCTCCTTCGTTCAGAGATGAAATATTTCGTATATGAAGTTGGTTTAAATCATTCCTGCACGTTTTCGATATCCGTTGATAAGATCGTTGTCGTGCATAAGTACAAAATTTGATTCAAGTAATCCAAAGTTTCGATTGTTTGATCCAATCAATTGTTCTAATTGAAATTGGAACAGTTATCACGCGAAATATCCCTCATTTAAAATACCTTTATTATTTAAAATATTTATCTGAATCACCTGTTTTCTTCGCCCCGAAACAACCCTACGGATTAATAGTTCATTGTTGACCAGACTTCAGTTTTTTCGCATCCTAACCAAGAATAATAATGTCACCAATTTTTCCTTTATTATATTCAAGTTGGAAAATTTGTACGTATATCCTGAAAGAGTTGAGTGCTCTGTAATAAAAAGAAATGGCAAAGAAAAGAAAAATGTAAGGAAAATTATTAATTATGTGAGACGATATTATTACGTGTATTATTGAAATGAGCGAAACAACAAACGTACAGACTCGATCAAACCTAAACGTTTGCGCCAACTCGCAATACCATTTAAGAACGCAACGCGCTTTGATAACAATGACCGGAAAATTGCGCGTTCTAGTGATAACGAGAATCGAGCATATACGCTCTGGTAATACTGGCCAGGAAAATTGCGCGTATATATACGCTGATGAAGCAAGTGGGTTAACTCGTCTGCAAACACAAACACCTCGAGCTTCGATTCATCAGTCCACTTTTTGCTAATCTTTAATTGTCCAATTTTTTTGGTTAATTATTCATTTCTTAATTGTCCATTGCTTTGCAACCTTTCCACTTTTTTTCAACAGCTCGGAGGCTACACCTTCCGAAAATTGCCGTTTCACAGTTCTTTTTTTAAGGGTAAAAAGAAAATGAATTAATCGTTGAATCTGTTCTCATTTAAAGGGAACAACAGTGCTTCCTTGACTGACCTAACCTAAAAGATAAAGAATCGGTCCTAAAATTAATAAACTTTGTAAGACAGTCTAACCCTTGTAATAATTTGTAAGATTTAGCTCCGAATCGCTAATAACTCATCTAAGTGGTTGATACAACTATAAATAATGAAAATACAAAAAAAAAAAAATACACTTAACCTAAGTAAGACAGTCTAACCTATATGAAATAAATTGCAAGATTTAGTTCCAAGTCACTAATAACTCACCTAAGTGGTTGATGCAACTATAAATAATGAAAATATAAAAAGAAAAAAAAATACACTTAACCTAAGTAAGACAGTCTAACCTATATAAAATAAATTGCAAGATTTAGTTCCAAGTCGCTCAATAATTTAATAACGCGAGTGGTCGACGCGACTATAAATAATGAAAATACAAAAAAAAAAGAAAAAAATACACCTAACCTAACTAAGACAATCTAACCTATATAAAATAAATTGCAAGATTTAGTCGCTAATATAATAACTCACCTAAGTGGTTGATGCAACTATAAATAATGAAAATACAAAAAGAAAAGGAAAAAATACACCTAACCTAACTAAGACAGTCTAACCTAACCTATAACCTAACCTATAAAATAAATTGCAAGATTTAGTTCCAAGTCGCTGATAACTCAATAACGCGAGTGGTCGACGCGACTATAAATAATGAAAATAAGAAAGAAAAGAGAGAGAGAGGAAATAGATATCTTGAAAAAAAACATAAAAAAAAAGATGTTTGCACTTTCTCTTCATCGAAGAATCCGCCGTGCTTCGTCGCAATCCTCCATTATTCGCGCGCGGTAATTTTCAAACTTAAAAATCCTAGGAATCAAACGACCTTGCCCTACGAGAGCAAAGTTCGCAAAACTCCATCCAAGTGTTTCGATCAATTCCGAGTATGAACCTCGTTTGCTTCTGTTCGCAGATTGCCCTTGATTGTCCGGGGAGCGGAAGAAAAACGGTCGTGGCGACCGGCTGATTTATTCGCATTTCGGCATCTGGAACGAGTGAGACACGCGTAGGATGGCGCGCAGAGAGCGTGCAGAGGAGCACGAGCGAATCACCGAATCGTGCGCGACCGCGTTAAGCGGCTTCTCGCGGTGAGTTTCACGTTTCCCCCGCCGACGAGGAGGACGCGAGCTGGCGATCCGTTAAATCGACGAGCTGCCAGAGCAGCAGAATCTCGGAAGCCAGAGGGGGAGAGAAAGAGAGAGAGAGAGAGAGAGAGAGAAAGAGGAAGAGCGAATATATATGAGCGATAGCGTTCGTGGAAAATTCGCGCCGAGTGCAGGACCCACCCAGGCAGTCGCGACGTGCATCGAGGACACTTATCCCGGGAATCTTGTTTGCCGGAATAAAGGCTTGAAGTTGCCATCCACTTCCTTCCCGTCTGCATCCCGGCGGCTCCACTCGCGGCTACGTCTCTTTTTTCCCTTGCTTCTGTTCTTGGCAGAGCGCGACGCGAGAAGTGAGAGAGAGATAGAGAGAGAGAGAGAGAGAGAGAATCGGCACGGAGAAAAGTTCGAGTGACTCATGGAGACACACTCTTGAAATTCACTCCGCGCCGTTGTTTAAGTTTCCATTTGGCTGCCAACGCGCGGTGTGAAAGAATCGTCGCGGTGTGGTGTAGCGGAAGCGGCGCTACGTGTGTTCCCGTTCCGCGACACCGCTTGTTCATCGGTTTGTTTAATCGAGATCGTCACGCGCCGCCACGTCGCGCCGAATATTCTCTCTCTCGAGTTTGTTCGACGATCCACCAGAGGCAGGAAGGAAAATCGCCGACCAAAATTGCTGCAAACTCAGTCTCTCCGTTGAACGACCCCCGTTCGCAGACTGATTGAAGCTTGAGAAGGCGGACGAAGGCGGGACGTTTGCCGAAGGCTCGGAAGAGCGGAATTACCGTCTCGAACTAAGCGCCTAACGTCGACGGATTCTTTAATAAGATCGAGTTTGGACGGTTATTGCACCGGACGGCGCATAAATATCTCGCACGAGCGTATGCGTGGCTAGCTCGAGAGGGCAATATCCCCGAAAACGAGGATCGAGCCTTTCGATTTCTCTCGATAGACAGAGAGAGAGCCTCATCTCTCCCGGGTTCGAACTAATATCCCAGAAAATATCTCCAACATCGATTTTGTCCATAGAATTCCGGGCCGCGTTCCAGTCAGGACGGCCGAGTCCGGCTCTAGAAAAATGAGTACGGGAGTGCTGCCCGTCTCGCATACGCGATCATCCAACGCTTCCGCGATCCCCGTTCCAGGCAGGAGAGATGCCGCTTCCGTTCTCTAAAAAAAGGCGGATATAAAATATAAAAGTGGTCAGCAGTCGTAAAGGCGGCGATAAAAACGAGCCTTAAGCGAGTCGAGAGAGACCAATGGAGTGTCTCTCGAGCGCTTTCGCTTGCGACGCGATGCTGTTGAAAGGAATGGACTCGCGAAGATCGCGGAGACGATCGCGCAGAAAATCGTCGAGGAATCAGCCTGCCGTCGCCGTCGACGTCGACGACTGCTCGGTCGCCTCGAGATAGATAAGCCACGACGACGAGTCACCGGTGATGTGAGCTTGCGTTGCTCGTTGCTTCGAACTGCTGGTGAGCTGCGGGAAATACCGGGGCGGCGAAATAGCATCTCGGCGGCAAGATGATTTAGCGGATGGCGAGAGGGCACAGCGCAAGAAACGAGTGAGGGATGATCAATTCGTCGAAGGATTTCGAAGAATATTAGAAGCAGGTGTCTGTTGTCTCTCTCTCTCTCTTTCTCTCTCTCTCTCTCTCTCTCTCTCTCTCTCTTTGTTTCCCTCGCTCGTCGTTGTCATCGATTCGTGCAGAACGACGAGCAGAGTGAGGCACCGCTTGAACAAATGAGAGTCAGAGGACAGAATTGGGTGATCCGGTAGGAAGAAGAAGAAGAAGAAAAGAAAGAAGGAGAGAATGGAGAAGGACAGCGCGAGACATTACAGAGCTTACGAGGGCTTCAAGCCCGCGAACAATGGCAATACATCGTCCTTGAAGAGGTCGACGTCCGACCGCTCGAAAACGCATCCGTCGAGGCAAGTGAGGTGTCTTTGCTTCGGCGGAGTGCCGGACAAGGCCAGCCACCATTCCTTCCTCAAGGGTTGTATTATAAACCTCGGCATATGCGCCCTCCTCGTGGCCTACACCCTGCTCGGTAGCTTCATCTTCCTCGCCATCGAGGGCGGTGCCGATCCTGCGATGCAACAAAGGACACTTGCCACCACAATAGCGGGGAATCAGCCTACCAGGCGGAATGCCACCGCTTGGCTCAAGCAGGTGAGTGCACAACTATTGATTTCCACCCACGCGACGTGTTTTTTTTTCCTTTTTCCCTCCTCCCGTTCTCTCTCTTTCTCTCTTTCTTTCTTTATCTCTCGTTGTTGCATTTTTAACGGTTAACGACTCGTTTTGTTGCGAGCGATGCTTCGCGAATTACGGTCCAATCAATTTTTTTTACATTGCTCCGGTCAACTTTCGTCGTTGCGTGTTCCTTCCTTCCCGATCCGCCGAGAAATTCAAGATACGACCGTGAATCGGAGATGTACACTGGTTAAATGGTCCTCTCCAAAAAAAAAAAAAAAGTTGGCGGAATGACGATTAAACTACTGCCATTGACGCTGCAGAGTCGCGAATCGAAACAGAGATAGTTTTACAGTTTTCGAAATAATCGATATCAACGCGTGGGGAAGTTCCGTAATTTTGAATGAAAAGATGACACGACAGCGAAGCGCACGCAAACGTGATTTTTACGTTTGGCAGCAAACTCTGTCCCGCATCTGATGAAATAAAGTTTATTTCATTAGACGCGTCAGTTTTATTCGAGCATGTAAAAATCCAAGCGAGAGAAGATTCAATTCAGGGAACGCGAATTTCCATTAGAATCTTTAATTGAATAAATGATTATTTTGTTACGCAGTTATCGTGTAATTAACATGTTGTAATAATTGTTAGTATTTTACGTTGGTAATAGTTATTTCTGTGATGGATACATTGCAACTTGTGTCAGAACAACGATGCGTGTCATTATTTACCATCGGAAATATAACTTGCCGATAATGATGTAAAAATATAATAATTATGACTTACTAATAATTAAATAGAAAATACTAATGGCAATCCGTGACTCGTCACTTTTCTCAAAAACCAAGCCTCCCACGCATCGATTTTCGTTTCCCTGGGAAATCTAACCGACTCGTACCATGAATTTTCCACCATCCCGTACGATATCGTTTGGAGTGGAACAACGAGGCTGGATGTGAACTTCGATTTCGATCGCACTTTCGTACTTGAGACGACCTCGGTGAACCGAAAGTCAATCGAATTATCGGCGCGTTCTGCCGTTGCCGCTCGTTTCAACCAAGTTTCATCGATCGGTCGTTGCCCGGCTGGTTTCCTCGTTTCCTTAAAACGGCACTCGTTGCACCAGGTCGACTGCCGCATAGGAAAGATACATACCCATAAGTAATGTCGAGTTTTTCTCGACACTATTTTACTCAAGAGTGAATAAAATAAATACAATTTAATACTGAAATTGTTCACTAGACGACAATGTTTATTAAATTGGAAGTTTATTAAAATTATCTTTTTTCTCGATACTGTACGAAATTTTATTCTACTCAAGAGTGAATAAAATAAATATAA